ATTGAAGAGTGGAGAGCATAGTTGTATAGCTCTTCACTTTCCTCTTTCTGAATATTGTGATGAATATTATCAATATATAATGTCAACTTAGGAACATGACATTATTTTGGATATCACTTGTATGAATTTGTGATAAGTATGTGCATCTTGGTCCAAGGTTGATGTTGTGGATTAAGAGTATGTGCTTGAACAAGTTACAATTACAGTGATGAAATTGAAGTGAGTTATGTGCTAAAATGACCAAGTTGATATAAGTGTTAAATTTAATTTACCCTTTTGTATTATTGTCAAATGAGGATTTGATAGTTATTTTGAGTGTGAATGCTTAATTGTGTATTATAATTGAATTTTCATGTTGTGTGTTGTCTATTTAAGGTGGTCAAAGTGTCTCTGAGGCTAATGGCAATTGGCATTAGGAGTTGGACACCTTTGTGTGTGTTTTGAGGTGAAAACAAACCATTTTGGGTTTGGATGTCTATCTTTTAAATGGATGATTATTTGAGTATGAAACCGGTGCTGTGCCATTAGCTAGAGGGCTCGAAGAGTTTCCTGTGGATATTTGAACCACCCAAATCAAACTTCGGATGGAAAAACAGCTCGCTTTGAAAGTTTAGAGAGTTATCATGACAACAATCTGCTATCATGATAGTAGGTGTGCGTCACAGCATATGGTAGTTGCGCCACGGTGCAAATGGCCTTTGAGGGATTCATCCCTTTGTGCCATCCACCATGGCGGGCATAGCTTGTGCTGCGACAGACGGGCCAAAATTTTTGAAAAATGGCTTGTTTCAGCCTGTTTTGAAGTAATTTCATTTCTATGCTTTTATATTTATTCTTAATTAATTTTCAACCATGGTTTAAGCTCAAACACTTTTAAAAAGGGTTTTCTTGAGATCCCATTATTTAACTAATTATCTTCTAAACTCTTGGGTTATGATAACTCTTTCTCAAAATTTAACTATTCTCAGTTATCACAATGTCATGTAAGAGTGTTGTCCTGGTAATGTCAAGACGGACATTACATCCACTACTCAAATGGAGGTTATGATGAATTGCATTAACTCCTTTTATTATACTTCTAGCCAGAAAATGAATATCAATAAGACAAGGATGTGTGCTTTTAAGAATGTCCATTTTTCTCGGGCTCTTGATTTGAGTTCTTGTTTAAGAGTGTCTCTCACTGGAGATTTAAGGAAGTACCTTGGCATTCTCGTACTTCATAAACGTGTTATTGCTAGAATTTTTGACCCCATTATAAAGAAAGCTAGGACAAGATTGAAAGGATGGAAAGGAAAATTGTTATCTATAATGGGTAGAACTACCCTTATTAAAATAGTGATTTCTGTGTTACCTAGCTATTATATGCAAACGATGCTTTTTCCAATGAAAATCCTAGATGAAGTGGTAAAGTATAGTAAGACCTTCTTTTAAGGAGACATGGATGAGGTGAAAAAGTTGCATCTGCTGTCTTGGCAAAAGGTAATTTCTAATAAAGAATTTGGAGGATTGGGTGGAAAGGAATTCAGGACACAAAATCAAGATACATCATGAAATTATGTTGACAACTCATTGTGCAAGACTAGAAATTTTGGGTATAAGAAATTAAAGAAAAATACAAATGCGGAGACAGGCTGTTACCTAGTATAGTGAAGAAAAGAAATGCCTCTCTAACTTAGAGGAGCATATGCTCAGTTTGGGAAATTTTCAAGGAAGTGTTGGGCATTAAAAAGAGCTTGATTTGAAATACTAACTTCTGGATAGATGTTTGGTCTAATATTAATTCCAGCATTCTTGAGGTTATTCCTAATCTATTAGTGCTGATTGATCTTGATGAGAAAGTGACTGAGTATATCCTTCCATCGAGTGATTGGAACAAGCACAAGCTAAATATTATCTTTCCAATTCATATGGTTAATGTTTTGATTCACACTAGACCTAGGTTTAGCTTGAGTGAGAGAGATTTTTTTTTTATTTAGAAACACTGAGAGATGGGAGGTTTACAATTAGATCTACTTATGATTTTTTGCAAGCAGGTACACCAAGATGCTTAATTTTTAACTAAAAACCCATATGGCAGCTACAAGTACCAAAAAAGATGAAATTCCTTTTGTGGATGATGGCGCATGGTGCTATTCATACTGCTAGTCTACATCATAGAAGAGGTCTATTGCCAACAAACATATGCCCATAAAGTTGTGATGATGCAGAGGATGAGATACACTTGTTGAAAGATTACAAAGAAGTAAAGACTAGATGGAGTCAACTTCTTGTACTGAATCATTGGATGGACTTCACAAGTGGAAACATACATTAGTGGTTGAAATTGAACCTCAATGGGAATTTGGGTAATCAAATGACAAAATAAGTCTCTTAAAAAATTCTCTTTGCTTTCACATGCTGGGAAATTTGGACATCACGATGTAATGCCATTTTTAATGCTGAAGATAGACATACCTCATAGTTTAATGCAGAAACAATGATTTTTAGTATTCTTCAAGATAGAAAATTTCTGTATGCGATAAACTCTTTAAGAGGTGGTGCTGATGTGAATCCAATTCAACCATATTACGATCCTAACTTGGTTAGAATTGAGACAGCGGAACAAGTAAAGCTACAAGGAAGACAAATAGGTGTAGCAGTGATAAGGAAGCATGGTCAATCCCCTAAATTTAGCTATAGCATAAAGATGGATTCTGCTCTGGGGGACTTTGTGGTTATATGAACTATTCTTATGGGCCTAGAAAAATGCTGGAATGATGGTGTCAAAACAATAGAGATTGATTGCCATTGTGCTAGTACTTTTAATTACTTAGGCAGGGATATATCTTATGACAGCCCTTTGCATGATCTCCTTCTCCAAGTACAAAGTTTTGACTGTCTCTTTTAACTTCCTCTATAATGATTATAGTGCGTTTCTTAAAGACATGATTAGTGTAGGTCATTTTAGGATTGATTCTTTTGTTTCCTTTCAACATCAACCTTCCCAATATTAGGAGAGGTTGGATTGTGAAAGGAGTTAACCCCTTAGAGGTTTTGTTCATTGTACAGTTTTTTTTTTTTGGTTTTATAGTTCTTATTTTCAGTCAAAAAAAAAAAATTTCATCCATGGAATGAGACAACTTATCTAGGGCAATTAGCATACAAATTCAAATTTTTACCAAAATGATTAATGACTAAATTCCAATCTTTATGTAAGGCATGAGTTCTACTTGCAAGTAAGATATATATTTGTAAAATAATACAAGCATTGGAGGAAATATAATTTAATTTTTAATATGTTATTTAAATTTATGATAGAATTTCTCTTGATATATTTCGTGAGAAAAGTCTCTCATTTTTGAGAGAAAGTTCTCATGAAAAATTCTAAGAAAATACTTTTCTTAAATAAATATGAGAAGTTTCTTTTTGATTTTTTTTTGAGAGAAGTTCTCTCAACTTATTTTATGAGAAACATTTTCTTCTAAATTATTTTTAAGAGAAATTGTTTCTTTCTGAATATTTCAAGAGAAAATAAAAATTCTTACAAATGTTAACTTACTTAAATTTTTTGAGAGAAAATCCAAGAGAAATCTTTTTTCTCACATGTTTTTATGTTTTTTGTCATAATAATTTCCAAGAAATGTGCTCTTTTGTTATAGAGTTGGCTAATGTTATTCAGGCAGTCCAAGGACATTTTCAATGAAATTTACTTGTTCATTAACCCTATATTTGATTTTTTTTTTAATCATTAGGTATATATTTAATTTTAAGAAACTTGGGGTTGGGAATATTACCATTACCCGTACTGACTAATCTACACTCCTGCATTCTTTGATCATTATTACTAATGGTGGCTTCATGAGCATATCATGGATGATGTAGTTGACATTTTTTATTTAACATGACTCTATATCTCAAGAGTTGAATCTTATATTCTAAAATAAGCTAATTTAATACCATCGACCGGTTAAATCAAACACCTTTTATTAACCCTTTAATTGATTGGAGAGGAGATGAGAATCAAATGACTTCAATAAATTTTAATAAAGAGAAAAGGAAAAATATAACTATTAGTCTTTATAATTTTATCAAACTTTATTTAGTGTTTTCAATACCTCTAATTTCAGTTTGAAAAAAAAAACTTATAATTTTTATAAGATTAGATGACGTTTATTTTTCAAGTCTCTAACAATGTTCAATTACAAAGATTATAAGAATTAAAAACATTGAGAGAAAATTATAAGAACTAAAATCAAAACTTGATAAAATTATAGAGGCCGATGATTATATTTTTTTAGAAAAAATGCAAATTTAAAAGAGTAAAAAATTAATTAAAATATTATATCATCACTTGTCTATTTTTTTTAAATTCAACTTTTTAAAATATTCCTCTTTATATATTTCCTACCCACGAAACACACTTCATGTAGCAATGGATTGGTGCTCATTGTAAAAAGATATGGACCATCCAGATATTATCATATATTTTTATTTTATATTTATTAAAATAAAAATTTCTAAAAATTATAAAATAATTTTAAGAAATTTTTTAATTTCAATGTAGTCTAGATTTAATTTGGAGATTCCAAACCATAAAATTATTTTTTTCCAACATCCAAAAACTAGAAGAAACTTGAAGTAAAAAATGAGTTATATATAAAATTTATGACGCATAAAATCCAAGAAAAAATAAAAAAGAGAAGAAACTAGGTGGAAAATGGAAAAACGTAAAAGTAACAGAACACAGATACTAGTTTGGGCAGGCAAAGCAAGAATAAGCAAGCACTCGGTCACGGCATAAAATCAAACAAACCTCGGCTCTTTACACTTTCAACATGTTGCGTCTGAGTAAAAACCAAAAAAACATTCCCTTAACCACTAAATAAATTCCCACATTTGTCTCTTTCTTCCTCGCTTAACTGTCTTCCACGCTTTATAATAACATCGACAGAACCAAAAAGTGAAAGCAAAGCTTCCAGAATCCAGAACCATTAAAGCCGATCGAGTTTTATATCCCGACTTGGACTTCATGTTTCTTGCAAGGCATTACAAAGCTCCCATACCTATCCTCTTCTTATAGAAACTGATATACGTCTCTTCATCACTACTGCGATCAAGCATTCAAGCTGGTCAAGTTTTGAAAGATGGAGATTAGAAACCATGTGGATCACGACCACGACGAGGAGAAGATGCCTCTGTTGCGAAACAAGGACGTGCCAGAAGCAGAACGAAACCTGATTCAGAAAGCCATTAGCCAGACATTTCGGAGCACGGCTCACTTAGCCAAGCTTCTACCCACCGGCTCCGTGCTGGCGTTCCAGCTTCTGTCGCCGATCTTCACCAACCTTGGAAACTGCGATAACGTCGGCCGGTCCTTGACTGCTTTCCTCGTATCTCTCTGCAGCGTGTCTTGTTTCCTCCTGAGCTTCACCGATAGCTTTAGAGACAGCAAGGGAAACGTGTGTTACGGGTTCGCCACCGTGAGGGGCTTGTGGGTGATCGACGGGTCCACCAGGCTTCCACCACAAGTTGCGGCCAAGTATCGCCTGCGGTTTATAGATTTCGTGCACGCGTGCATGTCGGTGCTGGTGTTTGGTGCGGTTGCTCTGTTTGATCAGAATGTAGTGAGTTGCTTCTTTCCGGCGCCGACAAAGGAGACGCAGGAGGTGTTGACGGCGTTGCCGGTGGGCATTGGCGTGATGGTTGGCATGCTGTTTGTTGTTTTTCCGACTCAGAGGCATGGGATTGGCTTTCCCCTTTCCTCTACCTGACACTCCCTTCTTAAAATATTTTATATTTTTAAATGAAAAGAGTAATTATTTAATTCCCTGGCTTTTCCCCCTCCCTGTTGAATGATTGCATTTTGTAAAAGGGAAAATCCGAAATGAATCATTTGATTTAATGGATTCGTATGTTTGGAGCAAATTATAAAATCAATGAATTATTTTGACTTCGATTGCATTATTAGATAACTGGATTAATGTTGGCCCACAAAAAAAAAAAATAAATGGATTAATGATCTTTATCCTTTAATTGTCATTGTTGCCCTGTAAACTAAATTCATTGGATTGATTAATCTTTGTTTTTTTCCTTTTTAATCAACCGAGGGGTGAGCATTAGAGGCGGAAAATATATTCTAAAAATCATGTTTGATTCAAAATATAGGTTATTGAATATTTTTTTAAATTATTTTTTAACTATACTCCTACTTCATTTTCTTAAAAAAATAATGTATTAAAATTTTAATTATTATTAAAATATATAAGATATTTAATAATAATATAATTAAAAAGATGTAAAAACTTTTAAAACATTAAAATTTTGACCTCATTTTTTTTTTGAGAACCAGTTATCAATGCTTTAACTGTGTAAGCAATTTTTTTTTTAAATAGGATATAGATAGAAAGGCAAGCAGAAAAACTTTGAATGAAACAAAGAAAAAGATCAATCAGTTAATTGGCCATATCAGCCAAATACAAATTCATGCACCCCATGGGGGGTTGCTTCAAAGGTGTGGTGTTGATGAGAAAATTCATACCAAATCCAAGATCCTCAGGGGAGCTCTAAATACAACGTTTTTCAAATATTTCATTCAATTTTTATTAGGAAAAATTGGTAAAAAGGACCTAGTTAAAAGTAAAATTAGTCATAGGGACCAAATGTATTTGAAGGACCAAGACTAATATTTTATTCATTAAATAATTTGGGCAAATAACTAAAATGCCCTACTACATTAATTAATTTTTTTTTTCCAAAAAGGAATAAAATCCAATTGTGGAGCTCCAACCCCTCCTCTGACAAGTGACAACGCACCTGTTAGAGCTTTAGCCGGCAAGTGAAGTGTTGTTAGAAAAAATATAAACCCCTTGATTACATGTAAACTCAATAACTAGAGGGTGCAAGATTTTTGACTTCGTGTGTAAGGGTTTTGGCTTAAGGTGCAAGGTTTTTGGCTTGGTGTGCAAGAGGTTAGCTAAGGGTGCAAAGCTTTGGCTTGAGGTGCAAGGGATCTGATTGGAGCACAAGGGTTCTAGCTTTAGTGCAAAGCTTTTGCCTTGAGGTGCAAGTGTTATGGCTTAGGGTATAAAGAGTATGACATGGATGTAAGGGGTTTAGCTTGAGTGCAAAACTTCTGACTTAAGTTGCAAAGGATCTCGCTTGGGGTGTAAGAGAGATACCAAGCTTTTAGCTTAAGGTGCATGTGTTATGAATTAAGGCGCAAGGCTTATTGCTTAAGGTGTAAGGGTTATGGCTTGTGTTATAGCAAGGAGATTTACATGTAATCTATAATCATTTTCATGTAATTTTAGGGCATTGACAGGGGTATATTCTCTATGTGATTGATTTATATATAATCTACTGGAGATTATATGTAAATTATTCCTTAGTCATACTTAAGAGTTTCTTCACCTATAGATTTACATGTAAAGTGTAGTCGTTTTCATGTAATTTTAGGCTATTCATAGGGGCGTGCTCTCTATGTGTTTGATTTACATATAATTTACTAGAGATTATATGTAAATTATTCCTCAAGCATGATTGTGAATTTTTTTCTCATATTAATTTACATGTAATTAATTGTGGTTTACATGTAAACCCGAGGCAATAATAAGGGTGTCTTCTCTACGTGACTGATTTACATGTAATTCGCTAAAGATTACATGTAAAGTATTCCTCAGGTATGCTTGTAAATTTTTCCTTGTATCTGTAAAATCTGATAGCAAGTTGTTAATGTAACATTTTAAATTTCTTAATCCTATAATAGCTGTTAATCAGGGATAAAGTGGTAGTTAGTAAAGGATTATAGATTTAGATGATTAATTGATGATTTGTGTCTATGAGATGTTAAATGAACAAATATGGGTGAGCAAATTATGTTTTGGATTGAAGCAAGTACGTACGGTAAGAATTCTTCTTATTGTGCCACGCGTTGTGGCTAGTACTGAATGCACATAAACCAAAAAATGACCTCATAAGTCACGAATTTTAGGTGAAGTTCAGAGAGAGAAATCAGAAAATATGAAAGGGAGAAGAGGAGAAGCTCTTGGCTGATAGGGCAAGAGATTTTAGAGTTGTGGAATGTGCTTCTGATCAGTAACTTAGCGAGTAAGCTATGTATAACTCTTACCTTCCATTTTATCCAAATTTCTTTGAATACGAGTCATAAATAAGTTGAATTAGTGAAATTTAATGGGTTTGATAATTTCCCAATAGTAATAAAAATGTTCTCAGGAGTTAAATTAGAGCTTTGCAACTAATTTAGAGTTGAACAATAGAGTTTTAAACCTGTAGGCTCAATTTGGCCCTAATTTGTTGATATTTTAGGGTAAAAATCTTGTTTGCTTGAAATGAGATCAGTTGAGGTGATGTAAAGTGGTAATCGAGTAATAATAGACCTAGAACGGATAAAGGAAAAAGAATAGATGGCTAGATGTAGCCATAAATAGTAATTATGTACTTTTGATCAAATTGGACCAATTGATTAAATTGTGCCAATTGTGTTTAGATTGGCAAATTGTGCATATGAGTTGAGAAATGAAGCTTGTGATGAGCTATAATAATAGTTGAAATTCACGTGTAACTTTTCTAGTAACAGAAAGGTTGAGATAACTAAATAACTTTCTCTATTTGACTATTTATTGTAACTGTGTGTGAGTTTGCTATGTAATGCATGAAATTGTTTTGAACTGAGCATGTTTTGTAGCATTGAATGTTTATTGCATAAAAAGGGATGTTAGCAAAACAAGTAATGAAATTTGTGTAATTTGGTATAGAAATGTGTATATGTATATATATGAGTAAAGTGGTGATTGGGAACCTATAATTGGTTCAGAAAGCATGATTATAGGGGTGAGAGTTCACCCGTGTGGAGTGTGGTGATAAGACTATATAGCATATTCTCCTTAGTGCCTGATAGGGTATGGTGTTAGAGAATTATACCTCTTTAGTTCCTTTTAAGATACGGTGTTGGAAATGATTTCCTTAGTGCCTATTGAGTTGTGGTGTTAGAGATTTAGACTTCTAGGTATTTGTGTAATATGGTGTTGGAGTCAATGACACCTCATTGTGTATATTAAGAGAAACTATAGTTCGAAAGTAAGATAGAACACCTTTAGCTGGATGATTTTACTACTAAAGGTGAGCTCAAGGTCAATGAGAGTGTACATTGGTCTAAGGTGAGCCTATGATTTCATGTTGGGCTGATTTAGAGGTTTGGTCGATAGTGATCATGTTATGTGCAAAAAAGTGGTGAATAGTAGTAATTATAGTTTTAAAAATTGTGAAATGATATGTACTAATGCAATTTGAAGTGAGATGTAAATTATATACTATGTTCAAATGTATATTATGCTATACTTGCATGTGATAGTTGATAGTAGAAAGTTATTTCATTATTGAGATTTTTATCTTACCTCGTGGTTACCTTTTTTACAGGTCTCAATAGTGAGAAAGGCAAGGAAAAAGAGTCTGGACAGGTATAGTAGTGGCATTGTTAAAGAAACTCTTGAGTTTGTGTAATGAACTTGCTTGATGTGAATATTGTGTGTGTATATATATATAAGTTGCCATAAGAATTCCATGCATGTTTAAGTTGTGAATTGTGGGAAAATTTATAGTGATTTTGTGAATTTTAGTCCATGTGTGGAAATATATGGTGAAATAAATTGTATGGGCTAAGATTTGGTGGTGAATTTGTTGTGTATATGTGAAGGTGTGATTGTGAAAAAGGCCAAGTGAGCCAAATTATGGTGAAAAAGGCCAAGTGAGCCAAATTATGTTAAATTGTGAAAAATTATGTTTTTTAGAAATGGGTTGTTGAGTGACACAATTTTGACATGTGTGTATATATGAAATATATTGTAGTTAATCAGGTGTAATAGATCCTTTTCGACCTAATTCAAGGCTTGGAATGGTCTAATGAGATTAAGGGATTGATTTGAGTGCTTGGGTGCACGAAATTTTTAGAAAAAGTGACCTTTTGCACTTGAGTATCTAAATTTTGATTGGATCATTAGATTGTATCCAACCTATCTCATTAGTTAGCTTATAAGATATACTACACATAAGCACTTGAATCATTCCGATCGAATATTGTATGTGGAAACTATACACGCCGAAAATTCATCATTTAAGTTGTCAAATGATAACTGTTGAAATTGGCACGTGCACCATGGCAGATGGTGTATTTCACCACAGTGCATGGCCCTAATCTAACCTGTATTCTTTGTTTTAAAAAGGCATGCAATGATCTAAATGAATGCATATAGTTAAATTCTGCTACATATTACTCTATTATGTGGCCTAAGCTTTTTAAACAAAGTAATTGATTATGATTTGGTTTTTTAAAAGGTGGTGCTTAAGTTAATCATTTCTTATATTTGACAGATATAGAGAAGGCTTACATAATCAATGGTGGTTTACATGTAAATATAAGCCTTTAATAGGGGTGTCTTCTCTGTGTAATTGATTTACATGTAATTCGTTAGAGATTACATGTAAATTATTCCTTAGGTGTACTCGTGAATTTTTTCCCATATTAATTTACATGTAATTAGTTTGTCATTTTCATGTAATTATAGGGGCACTAATAGTAGGGGCCCTCTGTGTATTTTATTTACATATAATCCATAAGATATTACATATAACTGTCACACTAACATGTGAGGATTCAACAATTTTACATGAAGGACAACTGAATTTTTAATGAAAAAAGTAAATGTTTAGGGGGACTACGAACAACAAAAATATGAAAAAAATAATAATAATTCCATTAGTTTAGGTATGTCATTATGCCAAGTATAAACCAATTGATAAATAAAGACC